TCTACCAGTGGGCAACTTCTTAATTTTGAGCAAGCTTTGATAGCCGTTCAAAGCAGACAACCTTGTGAAGTTTTACGAAAATGGAAAAAAGTGAATTTCGAGTGCTGATTACGATCCCAAATCCACGAATTGGGATACGTACTGCTATTCAGCATATTCTCCAGATTTATCCGCCTGCGATTATTTTCTGTTTCCAAACTTAAAGAAATGGCTAGGCGATAACAGATTTGAGTCGAATGAAGAAATCATTACCGAAACAAACGCGTATTTTGAGAGCTTTGAGAAAACCTATTATTTGGGGGGAATGAGAAAATTAGAAAAACGCTGGACTAATTGTATCGAGCTAAAAGGTGATGATGCAGAAAAATAAAATGTTTATATGCCGAAAAAATTTTGTTTTATTCAAAAAGTCACTGACTTATCAAACCGCCTATATTTTCATGATAGTTTTTATGCAGATCAGTTAAATAATATTTTATTTTGAAATAAATCTTGATTATATTGTTAAACTTCTTTTTTATAAATATGTATGAATTAAATTTGTACATCATATAATTAACAGGAACAAAAATTCCAAATTTTTTTAACATTCCCTTTTAATTTGAATTGCAAACTGTAATTATGCAAAAGTACTGCTAGTATTTATACTTGAAATGTTTCTATGCAAACTGTGGACTATTAAGCATTTATTTTGTTTTCTCTTATATTATTTTTTTTTTATTTTAATGTTTTTAATTCAAAGGAAACTTTTTGGTATTATTTTAAATATAAATGCAAAAAGTTTTATCTAAAATTATACGCTTCCTTTATTCTAGCACTTTTTCCCCATTTTTATTCCTATTTGGAATCCTTTTTTCTATAAAAATTCTGACATTGACTTTTTGCAAAAGATGAATTTCAAATAAAATTTAATTTAAATATTAAAAACGAGCATCTGTCAAGAGATTGTAAAGAGATTTTCCGCCATCCGCCACACAGAAAGTCAACAGAAATTGTAAATTTACACTTTATTTTGAAACAAAATATGTTTTACGAGTATTTTGCGGAGCACTTCAAGTAATTTTGAGATGCATTTTTGATGTATTTTTATTTTTTTTTTCAATTTATATTACGCTTACTCACTCTATGGTTGTCGACCTTAACTCTGCAGTTTGTAGTTTTAATTAAGTTAAAAGCAAACTTGTGCCGAACGGCACAAAGGATTCAATTACTCATGAGGAACATAAATTAAGCTAAAAACGCACATTTTTCATACATAATTAATACGAAATTCGAAACTCTGCAATTTATTTACTTGCAAATTTTGGAATAAAAATATATTAGCAGAGTTTAGATGTGGGATCAAGTGTGTATATACACTTGATCCCGAATAGTTTCTGCTCATTGTACATTTTATGCTTATTTTAGAGAGTACCTCCAATAGAACCGCGCCTGCATGCCAAAACCAAAATTATCGCTGGAAAATCTTTAATTATTTGTAGATAATGTAAACCGAAATGGTACAAATGCTCATGAAAAATTGCTCTGATTTCGGTAAATTAAATTGCAACTTCCCGTAAATAAACAAATGCAATTTTATTGTTGTTCGAGTGTAAATATTTCAACGCGTCTGTTCACGATTATTTACGCTCATTTGCATATTGTAATTGTCGCTAATGGCAGTGCAAGCAGCGTGAGGACAAACATAAATGCACTGTACCTCTAAAACTATTACTACATTTGTTGGAACTTTGTTCGGAATACTCGTGTAGAGTTTTGGTACCTATTGGGGTTTGCACTGTGCAACCACAAAAGGACATTTAAATTAAATGAACTACACAGGAAAAAGTTTAACGATGAAACAACAACAATGAAGTGGAACTACATGCTGGTCAACATAATAGCAAAAATTAACTGAATCCAGTTACATTTCAACTCCGATTTCATTGTTGCACCTAAAACTGCATCGACCCATTGGACACATTGAATGCAATAAAAATTGTTAATGTTTGAAATATTTTTTAATTTATGCACATACGTTCCTTGGCATTTTTAATGCAATTACAATTTGTGAAATTTGGTTATTCCGATGAGTTCGGTCGGGTAATTTTTGTTCTCCATTGTAATGGAAATTTATTGTCACAGATGTTATGTTCGGAAAGGTGTGGATCTACAACGCATTGATTTACGAGAATTTCGAAACTTTTTCTAAATTGTAAATTAAAGATTTAATTAAGTTTAAAATAATTTATTAAAATTTCTAACTTACCCCAACAACATAGATTTTTTATTAGCAAGCCTCCTAATTTATGTATATTTTAAAAAAAAATTTTAACCTAAAATTGACACTCCTAATACTGGTAAAAATTTTTTTTAATACTTTTATATACTTCTGCTTAAATTTTTGACAAGTTGAAAATTTTAATCGTTACTGTTTGTTTCCATTAATGAAATGTCTAGATCGAAGAATAATTTTATGGATTAAACCTGTATTGAAACCATCTGCTACTCAAACTTTAAAGTTGCTTTTTTGAGGAGAAGCAGTTTTTACAAAAATTAAGTATTGAACGATACTTTAATAATAACGATTCTTACTAAAGTATTGTGAAATAATGATGTTTTCATAATAATACTACTTTTCGTTTGAGAATGTTTTCTTACAAATGGAGAACTTGTTCAAATTTAAAAAAATTTTAAATGCTCATTATAACAAAATTGGATTTTAGCAAAATTAGTTGGTTAAAAAATAATTTGAAAGTGCTTTAGCCAAAAAATTTTTGAGGTTTACGATAAAAATACTGTTTACTGTATGCTGTTCCGGAAATTTCGATGTCAAAGACACACCTCAGTTTGGTAAGCCGGTCACTAAAATAGCCAATGAAATTTTGCAACTAGTGGTATACGTAACCTGTCCGGGAATGACATTGGCAATGAATAACAAGCTTATGACAGTTTGGAATCATTTAGAAAGAGCAGGCTATATAAAGATGCCGGATGCTTGGGTAGTACACGAACTTGCAAAAAATTCGATTAATTTAATCAATATCTTTAAAATACTGTTAGAACGCAACGAAATCGTTCCATTTTTTAAAGTGACTTACTTATAATAACCTTTGTGGAATGTTAAAGATTAGTGACACTCCACAAACAACTTCGAAGCCTGTATTGAAGACAAAGAAGGTTATCTTGCGTGTTCTGTAGAATAGAAATGAAATTGTGTATTACGAGCATCTCCAGCTTGGTTCAACGATTAATTTGGTTTTATATTGCTCAGCACTCGAACACTTCTATGAAATAATCAAGAAAAAACTACCACAAGCAGGCAACAGAAAAGGAGTTATGCACCTTCAGGACAATACCAGGTCGAGAATATCTTTAATGACTCGCAATTAATGAATGGATCTTGATTGGGAATTTAATCCGGAATTTGCACTTTTCGACAACCATTTGTTTCGATCTGTACAAAACTTTCTTTATAGTAAAAAAGCAGCCAACCAAAGTGCCCCTGAAAATCACTTAACCAAGTTTTTCACAGACAAAACATAGAAGTTTTACAACAATGAAATTATGCAACTTTCCGTAAAATAGCAGATGTCTTAAATTGCTTGTCTAATATATAACTACTTAATTAAAATTGATTGATGCCTTTGTTTAAAAAAGTGCCAAGAACCCCAAAGTACTTTTGGTATAAACCACTAATTTAATGTTTTTAAATTCCATACATTTCTTAAATAATAAATAGTAGACATTAATCTACTTACCGAATTTATAATATTACAATGAGAATATCTTACTCATCTTTAAGTTTTATCTTTATTGTCTTTTGGTCTTATGCTATTATATGATGAACCTCTAAATCGACATTACTTTTATTATAACATCCATTTTTGTTCAAAAGACGGAAATCTTTGCTTCATTTGAATTCTTTTAATCGGAGCTAAGTAATCATGGGGATGACATCTACATTCCTAAATGGTTAAGATCCTATATTCTTTATGTGCTTGGCGATGGTTTCAATAGAGAATTTTTTTATTAATATCTGAGTTTCTGACATACCAGAGGAATTTAAAAAACAACCTTACGGTGATGTTTATTAATTTTTGTAGGTCATCATAGATGAATTTTGCTGTTTTACTAAGAGAAACACAACCATAAAGGTAGACATGTAAGTTTTTTCTTAAATTTAATTACTTCTGGATAGAGGTTGAAGTTTATTCGGAGTTATTGTCGCACCGACTGTTAGAAGTCCAGTCCACGTATTTTAACACTTCACTCAGTTCTGGGATTATTGACTGTTACGAGTGATAAAAATTACAAAGACAGATTTGCGTATCATTACTTTTGATGCTTTTGTATTTATTTTATTGTGTATTTGCAAGTTGTCAACAACTCAAGTCCGGGTATTTCAATGTATTATTTTACAGTAAAATACTAACGAGTTATTCACGAATCTTACGAAATATAAATATTGCAGTAACAGTTGCGATTTGTTATATGTTAGATGTTATTACTTCTAATATTATATTGGTCCTTCATTACCTTTTGGTAATAATAGCATTACCTTATGCTATTATATGATGTGTTGTATAATATATAAATTTTTTTTATTCATTATTATTTCAAGTATAATTTAAAAATACGTTTGCTTATTGTACGAATACATATATTCAACTATATTCGAAAATTATTTAATTTTAGTTTTGTGGCGACCCAGTTGGCTGTGCATTTATTGAATTTAAAAAGTAAAATTCAATTTCAAATATTTTTAAGTTTTCGTTTTTGATTGATGAGAACGTTTCGATTTTTCTCTCTGTAAAAAGTTGAATAAAAGT